ATAAAATAGGTTCTGTTTGGTTAGCCTGCACTCAAAAAGTACATTCTTTTGCACTTGGTTATCAGTCTTACCTGACTCCTACCGCAAACCTCCCTTATGCTTTCATATGGTATCATTTAATGCTCAGTGAGTCTTTTTCAGTAGTATATAGTGTCATCTTAAGGCTGCCTTCTGTGCAGCTATTCTTTAATTTCACCAAAACCTGCTGAGCAGATACACGTGCCAGTCCCACGCCAGGCGCAGGTAACAGCCATGCAGCAGCCTGTGGTGGAGCGACCATCACGAAAGGCGAGACAAAGACATTTGAGAAAGGCAAAAGTGTTTCTCTGTGCAGTATTGTTTGATGTGCCTGTTGTAGCAGACTTTGGGCTACAGGAGTAGTGCTCATCACAAATTCAGTAAGTGTAACAGACCCCATTCAGACAACTGTCATTCCGATGTAAACTAAAAAAGGCAGCCTGATGCTGAAGAGGCTAAGGCTGCAACACTGCCTGGCTCTTCTCTCACAAAACCTGTACAGGTAGTGAAGTCCACCAAGACAGCAAAACCATGTACATGAGCTAATACTTCACTAGGAACTGCAACCTACCCTTGTGCATCCTGAGCTAAAATCCTTGGTCCATGCTTGGCTAGTAATACAGAGCAGAGGCTTCACAGCATTGTTATGTTAAAATCAAAAGAAATTCAATGAAATCCAAATGCAGCACAGTTCTGCTTCTGCTCCGAGTTCCAATTTTTCTTTCCATGTTGGTAAGAACATGGAAGCTACACTAGTGTTAGGAAATACTAAATAGAAGAGATTAATACAAATGGTAAAGCACTGTATTCTCAGGAAGTTAGTAAAACTCTGTCTAGGTTAAAGTATCTGAGAGTGAATAAATGCTGTATTTAAATTACCATCACCTTTGCATGTCAAAAATCATCTAGGGCACAATAAATGGTCTTGATTCCTTATTAGTTTGAAAACCAGAAACTGCTTTTGAAGAAAGCTTAAGAATTGCTTAAAGAATGCAAACAGATTAAATTTAGAGATCAGCTGCTTCATTGTAACTATTGCTCCTATTTTCTATAGGCACTTACTGAATAAATGGTATTATGATATTCCTATATTCAACTCTCAACCATTCTCCAGTGAATCAGTTTGCGAGTCCTGCACAGGGATATTACTTGTGCCTGGCCTATGGCCCTCCCCATGCTTGAGTGGGTTTTATGTTGTCTAAGGCCAAAGGTTAATTTTCCGTCACCTTGGATTTAAGTGATTTGAAAATAATTGGCAGGCAGAATTTCTACTGAACTAGAAAAAAGCCCCTTCCATTTGACAGCAGAATGCAGTCTCAACCTGAGCAGGGTACTCAAACCCATCGCTGAAAATGGAAAACTGTCATGCAAGTTGCTGTGCTGCAAATAAAGCTGAGCATATGACCAAGAAGAGGTGATGCATTCAATAGAGAGTGCACCCAGCACTGGCACCGAGTGTCAGCAGAAAACCATGACGTGCTCTCAGTGCAGGAAAGGAAGGGACGTGAGTGAACTGACTGTACCCCATTGGAGCTGATAGAGTACATGTGAATTGGCAGCCACTAGCAGTCCACTGGTCTTTAATTCTCACCTTTAGAAAGTACCTGTGATAGATTTGGATCTGTGGTTCTTGCAGAATAGAAATCTCAGGGAAACTACAACTTCATACGTTATTTTTACCTTTATTACCTAATGGCAAAAAGTTGCCATGCTAAGGCACAGGAGATATTTTAGGAACTGATAATTTTTGCGTCCCGTTCCTTTTTCTGATGGACCACAGGTCAAGAACATAAAATTGCACAGTGATGCTCTGCTAATTCCCACTTCATCTTACGTTCACTAGATAGTCCTACAATTACTTTGCATAGCACCCTGATCTTAAGAAAAACACACTGAAATAAAATGAGGCTCAGCACTTCATTTCTGGTGAAAGGTACTGCCACCGAGGTGCAAAGCAAGCTAGACGCCCAGGCAGAACAGGGTCTTGTTTTAAAATGGTCTGGGTTAAAATGAACTTTGTGAGGAGGAGGCAGCAATTCGGAAAAACAAATTCCTGTGTCCTCAACATGCTAGGAAAAAACTCATCGTGATTTTTCCTTTCTGCCATCTGCTCTATTGATACGGAAAACTGGGCAAAAATAAATCTGCTTGTACAGATGATACAAATACAATTTGTTTAAACTATGGAACTCTCTGTGATGATATTCACATAGAACCTAACACGGAACTGAGGGGGCAAATTTGTGCTTTCTTACTATTGTAAGAAAGTATGTGCTACTAAAGCTCACTAACAAACCAAGCCCAAAACATTGCTGCTTGTCAGAGCAAGCCAGAAGGCAGAACTGAATCACTTAAAATTCCTTGCTATGTAGTCTATCAGCATAATTAATATCACTTGGCATAATCACAGCCTAATTTATAATTTTCAAATGACTTTTCGTTTACAGTTTCATTACCCCCTCAAAGCAAGCACAAGTATCTCTTTAGGGGAAATGCAAGCTTGCAACTGCAAGGAACATTTTTCCAGGATCATGTTTGATTTATTTCTTGTTTTACTGCACGAAATCTAATTAATGGGGATTCTAATTTGATTCCATTTCTCTTTTGAAATGCAGGTTTTGTTCCTTATATCAAAGAAAAGTGCAGGCTGGGAAGAAAAGGACCACATTGGGCTGGCCTCCATCTCACTGCTGGCAAGCTGCATCACAGTTCAGCACTAGTGTCATTCATATGACATTAAACAAGTGGAACTGTAAAAAAATTAGAAGGTGAAGTGAAAGATCCTGCTAGCTTCTGGAAAAGCCTGCACTCTCCTTTACCATGAACACAGGCGTACCTCCCACTGCCTTTCTCCATCTTCCCTGCATCGGAGCCTGTCCTGTCAGCCCTTATCTTGCATTCTCCTCACACAGCTGGAAATCACAGCACAAGCTTAGTATTCGTTCTCATTCTGTGCAATGCTGCGAGGGGTAGCCTCTGTACATCATCTGCCGTACAAGACAGAGAGGAGTGCAAAGGACTGACCTCAGAATAAGGGCAATATTGATGTCTAAACGTTTCTCTCAAAGTGCAGTTTCTTTGGGGCTTTCAGATGTGTGGGCTTCAGGGAAATGCAGCAGCATGTAATAGGCTAATTAGATGTATTATTTATAATATTAGCACACAGAAGGCACATCCCTTCCTTTTGCAAACTGAAGGGATTGGTGGCAGGCCTGCTGCGGACACAAACTGGGACAATGACATTGCATATGAATTACCACTGTTCAGCCTTGCCAGAGTACCTGATCAGAATTAGAACCCTCTTCTCCTGATGTAAGCAGAGGACCAAAGGTTCTAATTAAATTTTGACTGAGCCTTCATTAAATTCAGTGTACAAGACCTTGAGGTAAGCTAGGAATCCAAGCAGTTTAGACAGGTAAGGTAGCAAAACAGTACACAGGCAGCCCCAAGACAATGGCTAGCCTGTATGAAAATCTGTTTCAGAAACCCATACTAGCTCTTTGTCCTACCCTTCTGAGTAACCACCTTAGATATTTGTGCTGTTTCTGGCTGCTTCGACATGGAAGCAGTATCTCCTGTAAAGACGTGGTCCTGATGTATGCTCCTAGGAAGAAAACATGGAATTAAATTAATACATCATATTCATGCTTCCTGATCCTAACAGTAAAATTGGGGACACATGGATTCATGCTTCCGTAATTCCCTCTTTCTGCTAAAGCACTATGTTGCACATAAAAGTAAAGATATTTGGGTCATCTGAAAAGCCTCTTTGTACTTGGTGAAGTACTACTATTATTACAAATAGTACTAATGAATGCTATAGCTTTATCATGGGGAAAAGGAATATTAATCTGTTTATTGCATCAGGTCATGACCTGGGTGTTTTCTCCTTCCTCAGATAATGGCAGATGCTGCCTGTGTGGATATAAAAATTGTTTATAACTAAATAATGTGTAGCACTCTTTGTGCAAGAAACAGAAGTATTGTGTGCCAAAGATGTCAGAGATTTAATAAAAGTCAGCACAACACTTACGTAAGTTAACACTGAACAGAACAAAGAAAAAAAAAAACAAAACCCACACAAAACAAGCGTGAGACAACTTTAAGGCTTGATGCCATTGCCATCTGCAGTGTTGGGTAGTAATCACTTTATAGGAAAAGGAAATAAATATCTGAAAATATAGATGAAAACAGGTTGCTCCAATTCAGCATTAACACTTCCAGTCTGGAAACTAGAAGATCAAATTTATTTCTCACTATTTCTGTTCAAGCTGAGTTCTTTGTTACAGCACATACAGAGTTGAAAGTAATAAAATGTAAGTCCCAAAGATGATAAAAGATGTTTTCCATACATAGAAGCAGAACATATATCATGAGACTGTAGTTTATGTTCATCGTGTGTATATATATATATGGCATGTGCAGGTTCTGCACCTATGCTGAAGAGCTACTTACAAACTTATTTGCTACTCAATCACAGCAATCCACCATATCATTAAATTTGACAGAAATGCCTAATAAGTCATTATACCGATTAGAAAAACTTGATTGTCCAGTACAGGAATTCTAGACCTGACATTTCTGTTTGCACACACTGCCTGACCAAAACACCTGCCACTGAGTAGTTCCAGGCCAACATCAAGAACTGCACTGTTCTGGTGACTGCCATTTACTTGACAAAGCTGTAAGGTGACTGCACAGTGACTTCCAAGCTTGTCCTCGTTGCTTATGACAACGTCAAAATCTGAAAAGGTTTAGCGGTACCATTAATTCTGCATATTCATATGGAAGGAATGCTTTGTCAGAATCTGTTTTGTTCTGCCTGATGACTTATGGATATAGAAAGATGAGCTTTCATACTGAGATGCAGAACCATTATTCTTTTTGTATAATGGCTGAAGTGATTGTCCTTCCTTGCCCTGACTCATGGGAGATTTATGGCATGGTATTTCAGCCCGATTTACTGCATGTCTTTTTCACAGGACAATACTAAACCCAGTTTTCCATGAAAGGATTCAACTGCTGAAGTGGGAGGTGACTGTGCTGCTGCATTTGGGAGCCTTTTGGAGTTGAGGCAGTTCTGATGAAGATATTTATCCAGAAGGGAACGATCATCTGTGCAATATCAAAGTGCTTGCGCGTGGGTGGAACCACATATTGGGAATACTCTTTCATGACTATTTTAATGTTGTTATTTTAATTGTTTAGTTGAACAAGACTGATCTGATGGGGTATGCTAATAACTAAATCCCTCTGAGAGGAACCTGCCTCCATTCATTAACATCACTGACCAAGATTAGTTGCCAGCAAGTTCTTACGGGAGATGACAGAATAGAATGTGATGCATTAGCACTCCCTCAGACATTCAGCTGGGTTTTAAAGAACAAGTTCTCTTTCAGGACAACCTAAATCATGTTTTGAGAAAGTGGTGGATTTGCTACCTGCCTTACATCCATGTAAGCTTCACAATTATTTTAAGGCTGCCACCAGCTGTTGAGCCAAATGCTGGAACCCCTGGATCAGGCTGTATGGCCTGTATTGTTATCTAGGACAAACAAAATGATTTATGTTGGACTCCATAATCTTACGCATCTTTTCCAACCTAAGTGAACCTCTGATTGTAGAAGGCCACACTGGTCTTAAGAACTCTGACTGACTCTACAGGCTTGTCCACCCCCTAGCTGCTGAGCTTGAGCAGTAGGCTCTGGCACAGAAGTGCAGCTCAGACCCTTTTGCCCCATCCACGCAATCTGGCTTGGACTTGAGAACAGCAGTGGGCAGGACAGAGCAGTGCAAACAGGCCAGGTTCTGCTGCCCCACTTTGTGCAGGGTGTCTGCAAGTAAAGAGACCATAAAACCATTCCAGTGCAGCACCTGCGCTAATACACATTGCAGTCTCAGCATGTCTTGCTCTTTCAGTGCTTCTTAATGAACACAACACAAATGAAACCACAGGACTTGAGTGCAATTGGTTGGAGGATCTATAAATTCAAATTAAGCCCTTTTGCTTTACTGATCGTTGCAGACAGGCCTTAAAGAGGAGTGCCTGGAAACCATTCTCATCACTGTGACCAGTGCCCTTTATTTATTTATTTATTTATCTATCTATCTATCTATTTATTTTTCAGGGCAAGACCACTGCCCTGTGCACTATTTATGATGCACTTCCTCTTCCCAAACACATTTTTCACATTTTAATGGCTTAACTCTGAGGCTACTGAGTTTTATCTCTGGGCCGCTCATGCAAGCGTATCTCACCAGTGCTGTCTGTTCACCACACTGTCTGCTTGCTTGCTTCAAGATATCAGCAGGGGTCTTTAGAGCTTTCTCCAGTTTTGCACACATGTGCATGGATGATTTTCTTGCCTCTGCATGGTGCCGTACAGTGTGTGTTCTGCCACCAAATTCCTGTATGCCTCTCATTTCCTAAGGAAGTCTAATACCCATCCAAAACTCATTATCCTGATATTCACTCATATTATTTGTCAAGTATATCTGAGGGACCACTCATAAAACAGTACCAGACACACTCCCTTTGTAACACCTTCTATGACTCTTAATTATTTTAAGATGTGTTGATGGCATAGCAAATATTAAAAAGTAAATGATTGCAAGGTTAGTTTTACTGGAGAAAGAACCTTCTCTTTTCATTTGGATAAGGAGATCCAACTATCTGACTATCCCATACTGCTCTGAAAAGAACGGCTTGTCTGGTCAAACTGGATATTCCATCATTTTGCTCTGCATGTTTATTATTTATTGATTTACATTTTGTTATCGATTACTGCATCAGTAAACTTGTTCCAGAGAACGTTCACAGCAACTGAATTTAAAAAAAAAATTGAAGAGGAGGAAATAGATCTGTAATTTCAGAGGTCGGAGACCTGAGGACACTCCTACAGTCAGCAGAAATCAAAAATATCCAGGAAGCTGTACTCTGCTCTCTCTTACACTAAATACAAACACATAACATGGATGATGCATGTGAGAATGGAGCACAGCAGTGGGAGAAGTATGATAAACAGGAATAGCTTCCTAGCACCTTGGAGCTGGGAATCAGCTCTGCATCTAGAGTAACTAGCCAGGGCTGGGGAGGCATAAGAAGTCTTTTTGGCTCCAAGCTCAAGGAGAATATGCAGCCCTATGCTGGTTTCAATCGCAAAAACAGAAGCCCACAGGAACAGGGGAGAACCAGGAGCTCTACCAGCCAGCTACAGAAGTACATGCAGAACACAAGCAGAGCAGCCACATTACCCGTGTTCATGTCAGCTTTAACCAGCACTCTGTTAGCAGTGCACAGCAATGCTAGCAAGAGACAAACAGTCCATTTGCTTAATTTGAGATTCATTTGTAAATACTGGATGGTCAGGTAATAATTTCAAGCAGAGAAAGCCTAATGGAGAGTACTGACTGCCCTGATTTACTGGATGTAACTGAGAAAAAGTGGCCTGTCTCAGTTGGAGAATAAACCACAACATCCAGCAGTACAAACTTTACACCATGATAAATGCATACTGAGAGTTATGCATATTTTCAAGAGCAATGTATCTCCCCATCTCTGCCATCCCCTCAAAAAGATGAAAGAAAAAGGAAAAGCTGCTATTTTGGAGATGGGTAAGAGTCATCAAACTGCTCCACATTTGATCAAAGCTGGGGACCCTCACCAAAAGCTTTTAGTGAAAAATTTCAGCCTGTCTTTTGAAAGGCAAGCTGTAATAGCACCACAGCTGAGTTTTGACAATACAAATAGCTTTCTATGCAGCAGGAAATAAAAAGACATAAAAGGTACTGAATTATCACTACAACTGTAATATTTACTGAGACCTGTTTTCTTTACATCTTGACTCATTCACCTGTGCTTGCAACCAGGTTGCACTTTTATGCTATCTTTATAATATTAGCTAATTCTGGAAATAATCTCATTGAAATAAATCACTGAAATAAAGCAGCATAAGCCTTTTTGAGGATTGGATCACATAGCTACCAATATGTCAGAACTTTTTAGAAGCAGATATTCTCTGTTGTATGCAAGATATATTTAACACAGAAATATGAATTTAGACATACTGGTATTATATTGTGTTTACTTTCAGTTGAACATTTACCCATCTGAGCTTGATTGAGCCTTGGTGGATGACTAAGCTGAAAGAGCCTTGTTTCGTGTTACAGGACACTTGAGACTGTGCTCAATTTACTAACAGCGATGCGATACTGAACACCACTGGGACAGTAAGAAAATTAAACAAATAATTAGAAGAAAATGGCAAGGATTTACAATGGTCTAAAGTGCCCATTAGGGACGTAACTAATGTTGTTCACACTAGAACAGCATTATATCAAATGGAAACACTCATCTAACTTTTGCTTGAGTGAAAAGATGCAATTCCACTAACTGTCAAAATATCTTATTTCTAAAGGACCAGATGCGCTATTGCGTAACTTCAAGAGACTCATTTAGATAAAAGTTCAAAAAATGACTGACTGATTATAGCATGCTTTTTAATCTGAGTTCTGTAAAGATAGGATGCAACTGTCATTAACAGGAATTGCAAATGTGAGGATCCTCTCTCAGCGATCAGTTTGGAGAGGTGGCTCTGCTACAGCAAGATTTTGGGGAAGCTGGAAACAAATGAGATTGTCATGACTTAGTCCAAGGTATATAGAGCTCCAGTATTTATTACATACTGTTTTTTATAGGAGGATGATTTTGATCACACAAATAAATAGAAACTACAGTGTTCAAGAGTATACTTTGAGAAAATGATCATTCCCCTTTCCCTGAGAGACATACATATGGGTTGCATTTGTTCCTGACAGCATGCAAGAGCTTCCTGAATTTTGAGAAAGATTTGAGTTGGATTTATAACCCAGAAATGGAGACCGAGAGAAGAAGCAATAACCCCAGGATGAGTTCTGTCGCTCTTAATGAGGCCTTCAAGCTGTGACTCCTCCACAAGTCTCCTCAGTAGAATTGGGATGAGACTTTTGAGAGTAAAGAACAACATGGATTGCTTCCAATTGATTTTGCCCCCCACGAGCAATCGAAGTGTTGATCCTCCAGTATTTCCACAATCTCAAACTGCCCCAAATCTGCCTTTTTAGATACAACTCTCGATTACCAGAGATACCATACTACCTCCCAACTTTTGCCATCTCAGAGTAGGAAGAAAAAGAGGTTAGGTTTTGTCAGTCTTTTTGTCACAGAAGACAAGAGGAGGAGAAGGTGGTAGAGAAGAATTCTAGCTGCTGCTTCTTCCTCCTTTTTTCCTATGTTATGAGAAGAGCCTGAACAACAAAATCAAAACCCCCAGTATCTCTCAATCCAGTTTTGTCCAGTCTAGTTATAACAGGCAAGACACACAGCAACAAACCAAGTGCTCCTGGAGCCATACCTGTTGCAAGCCTTCCTATACATTGGACTTTCCTAAGTGCAAAAACCTAATTCATACTAAAACAAATAAAACATTGGCTTGCCAGGTTTTACTTAAAACTGACACACAGAGGAAACGGATCTTTGGATCAACTGTGGTTTTTGTTTGTTTGGGGTTTTTTTCCTAGTAACTATAAAGTTCTTAATTTCAGAAAATCCACAATCCAGTATACTTTAAGTACACATTGTTTATAACTGTCATAACTTTATCTACAGTATCTACAAATGGTTCTTAAACCTTTTTTGAATAATTAATACTTGTATAATACTTAATAGAGTCTTAGTATTTCACATAGCCAATTTGCTGATTCAACTGAATTCTTAGAAAAATAAATGAATTGGGAAATTTATTTCTTACACTTCAGATGTAATTGATAATTCATAATTGCCAAAGCCTGCATGTACTGTACGAGTCAATCCTAAAGAGACAAGTATGTTTTATGTAATAATAATCGTAATGAAAAAGTAGTCCATAGAGAGTTTCTTATTCATGCAATCACACTTCTCATCTCCTACAATATTTTGCCTCTCTTGTGTATTTATTTGACCTCTTGGATGCATCAATTAAAAACCTAACTCCTCAGATAAAATAGGTCACTGTTTACAACCTGATAAACAGCACTCAGACAGCTTATCTCATTTTCTAATTACCTTAAATTATGTAGATACAATCATCAGTTTCTAACTTATAACAAGAGAGTAAGAGGAGGATGGAAACTGCCTGAAATACTGTTGTTCAGTAGTCCTGTCAGACACCCAGCTGTCACACAGGACACTTTAGAAAGTGCTCCAAGGCACTGCTGGGAGTCAGCAAGAACAAATCATAGAATCATAGAATAGTTAGGGTTGGAAAGGACCTTAAGATCATCAAGTTCCAACCCCCCTGCCATGGGCAGGGACACCTCGCTCTAAACCATATCACCCAAGGATTAAATCATTGATCCTTTGCAACAGAGATTATTAGATAAGCATCTGCTATTCAAAACTTTGCCCAAACTCATCTCATGAAAGAAGCAAGGTCAAAAAATTCTAGTCATAAGGCCAAGCCCAATTTATCAAGAATTAGTATGTCTTCATCAATAAACACATAGGTGAAGACATCAGGTATTATTTTCTGAGTCCTCCTCCTGATGGAATTTCTAAGATGAAATCAAATGCCCTTCTGAAGTCTTACTTTGTACTGTGAAACAAATCACACAGAGAGTCCAACAGACACATAATATATATGGGAATATGAGAGCAGGTTCATTAGGTAGGGAATTTTTGTCCTAAAAGTTTTACAGCCTGGTGGGTTTTTGTCCTTAAAAAATTTACATCTTGCAGCCATTCGGGTTAAACCGGTCTGAACTGAAAACAGCAGAATGAACAAACCAGAAAATATGTGGACTTAATAGGCATCTTAAAAAGAAAGATCCTCTACTAGCAATTTTTACACAGCTAACTGAAAGAGGAAATCAATGGGACTGCTTAGGACATCAGCTGAACCAAAATTTAAGTAGGACTTTTTGAGATAATGCTTTTAAGATGTCACAGGCAAGATACATGACTGCCTGCAATGAATCTGGATATTAGGGCTTGTTTGAGAACCAATAAGATGAGAACTTTTGCATCTACCTGATTATCATTTACACCTTTCATCCATACCTTCCCTCCCTGATGGGTG